CATCTCATCACCGAATTATTAACAGTCTCATCAACCGAATTATCAAGAGTCTCGTCAATCGAATTATCAACAGTCTCATCAACCGAATTATCAACAATCTAATCAACCGAATTATCAACAGTCTCATCAACCGAATTATCAACAATCTAATCAACCGAATTATCAACAATCTCGAAAGTTTTTACATGTATAGCTTTACATTAGGTACTGCTCCAAGTTCATTACAGGTGGTCGACTTTGATTTGTAATTTGATCCCAATGTTTTTTAATGTTTTATGTGTACGGGATTTTTGTGTTGACAATTCATCATATCACCCCATAACACCTGTCGTAACGGAGCAAAACATTTTCTATATAAATTCATAGGAACAATGTCCGTCTATAATCTGCGGTATCAGTAAGCTGGAAGCAGCAGTTCAGACAACTTTTCATATAGGTTACCAACGAGCCCCGAACGAACCAAGAAAGAGGAAAAACAATATTGTCCATATAGCTTTTACTATCAGTTTTTGTTTTTTCTCGGTAAAAAGCAATAAGTGTTATCTGCTTAGTAACATTTTAATTTCTAATCTGTCAGAAATTGAATTTTTATGGTTGTATATCAGGCAACAATTTGATCAGTTATTCTTTGTAGTAATTTGATCTCTTGAGCTATTTATATAGTTTACTGAACACAATAGAATAAAATCGTTAAAGTTTCAATAAAAACATAGTTTTGCCCGATTGATTTTAGTGAATAAAACAACAGGGTTGTATTAACTACCCACCTTGGTAATAAATCCTCCAGGCCTACATGACTTCAGTTTGAATTTCTCATTAGTTTTGGTGGAATAGACTATATCAGCTACCAGGTAGGCCCTATAAAATATGTTTTAGTTAAACTCTGTTGTAGTAATATTTTGGCATTGTAGCAAGATAAACTCCTCTGGGAAAGACAGCCCATATCCGAAACATCTGTCTCTTTTCCAGCCTCTCATTATAGCTATTTTGACTGGTATTCAAGCCGACTACTATCACAATAGCAATAATGCTAATGCGAAGCGACTGGTACTGTTTCCTGATATCCAAACGTACATGGCTTGTAGTAGTCCCATCTTAAACTAGATAGGCTTTTCATGGGGAATCATGGGGAATAAGGTATAAAAATCAGGGTGAAACAAGGTGTAAAAATCAGAAGGTCTAAAAATCAGAAGGTATTACCCTTTTCAATTCTGGACCTCTTATACGTAAGCTAGCGAGCAAGCATCACGTCAATCACCCATCCACTCCTGCCCCCATGACCTTATTCAAAAGAACTAAAGAAGAGTTCGAAATAAATTTATTTCAGATACCTGAAGAAAATGTCAGCCTCTTACAATCGTATGAAGAAAATTAAATTAGTGAAATGTATTGGAAGAGGTAAGAACAATATTCCTGATAATGAAAGAATTCAATGGAGGTTATTTAGCCATTGTATGTCGGGCACACTGCGAACCCTTCCCATTTTCCATCAGGCATCTGTGGTTCCAGAAAAAACCCACTAGACGTTAGGCTACTTGTCAAAAACCAACTGGCTTGAATGGTTTATAGTGACGTTGAAGGATTACAGACGACGGATTGGAATTTGAAATGTTTCCACGTACACAATATTTCAATGGGTGCTAAAGGCTCATGTAAAATACTATGAAATGGGAATGAGAATCTTACCTATGGAAAATAATTCATTACTCCCAACTCGATTATCTCCCTTTAATCATTGTGTTTCAACGACCATTCCCGGTCCGTTATAACGGCAGTAGCCTATGTTTACACCTATCAAAATAAAGGACCGTCAGTAATACTGGCTATGCTAGTAAGTCAGTAATAATAACCAAGTCAGCAAGTCGGTAAAAATGACTAAGTCAGTATTAATGACTATGCCAGTAAGTCAGTAATAATGACCATGACAGTAAGTCAGTAATACTGGCTATGCTAGTAAGTCAGCAATAATAAGTATGACAGTAAGTCAGTAATAATGACTATGCCAGTAAGTCAGCAATAATGACTATGTCAGTAAGTCAGTAATAATGACTATGCCAGTATGTCAGTAATAATGACTATGCCAGTAAGTCAGTAATAATGACTATGCCAGCAAGTCAGCAATAATGACTATGTCAGTAAGTCAGGAATAATAACCATGCCAGTATGTCAGTAATAATGACTATGCCAGTAAGTCAGTAATAATGACTATAATAACTATGCCAGTAAGTCAGTAATAATGACTATAATGACTATGCTAGTAAGTCAGTAATAATGACTATACCAGTATGTCAGTAATAAAGCCTATGCCAGCAAGTCAGTAATAATGACTATGCACGTAAGTCAGCAATAATGACTATGCCAGTATGTCAGTAATAACGACTATGCCAGTAAGACAGTAATAATGACTATGCCAGTAAGTCAGCAATAATGACTATGTCAGTAAGTCAGTAATAATGACTATGCCAGTATGTCAGTAATAATGACTATGCCAGTAAGTCAGTAATAATGACTATGCCAGTAAGTCAGTAATAATGACTATGCCAGTATGTCAGTAATAATGCCTATGCCAGTAAGTCAGTAATAATGACTATGCCAGTAAGTCAGCAATAATGAATATGCCAGCATTTCATTTACAATTTACATTTCAGTTACAATGTCAGTTAACCAGCCGTAATGAATATCGGCAGAAAGTCGGTAATAATGAATAGGTTATGTCAGCAATAATGAATAGGTTATGTCATTAAAATGACCATGACAGTAAGTCAGTAATAATGACTATGCCAGTAAGGCAGCAATAATGACTATTCCAGTAAGTCAGCAATAATGAATATGCCAGTAAGTCAGCAATAATGACTATGCCAGTAATTCATTTACAATCTCGGTTAACCAGCCATAATGAATATCTAGTAAGTCAATAAATTGTCTAGGTCAGAAAGTCAGTAATAATGACTAGGTTATTTCCATTAGTCAATAATTATAACTATGTACACCAGTAAGTTAGTAGATAATAATGAGCTCGGTAAATTTGTCGGTGACATTTTGCTGCTATGCTAGATCTTTTGCCATAATCAATCACTATTACTTGAGGTATCTGAATATAATTATATCGAAAACATAAGTAATTTAATTGTTTTCCGTGAATGCAGTTGATACTTGATGTATTGACCCTTGATTTATTAATTTGGTTCGAGCTATAGCCTTTAAAGGCTAGCTCACTGGGTGGTGAAAATTATAATTTTAACCTACAAATCCATGACATATAACTCTCTAATCAGATTAATCTTACTTGTTAATCTTTAGACTAAGATTAATAGTAAACATAAAATATATAAACTGATCATATTTCAGAATATTCTTTAAAGGGAGGGGAACAAGGTTTAAAGGAATAAATGATGTTTGCATAAAGGCGTAATGAGGAGTTAAACAGATGGACTATATATACACATTTTATGAAACTTTTTGAATGACTTTTTATTGCTATGTTGCAAATTATACAGCTTT